AGTGCCTTGAAGCAATGCAAGTGGGTACTATCAACAAAAAAAACCTGAATTTGCTAAATTCACAATTAGCCATCAATCTTCAATTTCCTCCTGATAGACCCAAACAGAGAATGGCATCACTCTTGTTATTGTGCAGAAAGTTGGTTTCAGGCTTTCAGTCTGACTGCAGTCAAACACAAGGTGGAGATGCAGAGGAAAAAGCTCTGCAGTTGCTATGGTAACTCATCTTCCATCCATCGTGACTCAATGCTCTTCCAGAGCGACAAGGAGACAAATGAAGCCTCAGAGGAACCTTTGACCAGAAGCTCTGACAGATCATCAGCCAGTCTACCCAAGGCTGTTTGACTGTCACTGCGTTGCAGGTTTCAGGCTGTCTCCATCAGCTCAGCAATTGTTTTACAGTGCTTCATGGCTCATGCCACCTCTCAGAGAGAAAGAGGTAAATTGGTTGGTGGTGAGAGTCAATTTGATCCTCTAATCTTCTGCAATCTGTCAGACTGAGATTATTTCATCTAAAATAGAGAAAATGTAATTGCTTAAATCTCTAAGCAAGTGATCTCCTATGATGGCCAGCGGGCTGTGTGAATAGCAGGCGCACGATGATCCAAACATTTAATCAAAAATCCAGTCTGTCTCTCGGAAAGACAATCCGAACCTTGTAGCGAGCTGCAAATCTGCTCTCTCTTAAACAGGCAAATGATGCACTATAAATAGTGAATAGAAGAAAATCTTTTTGTGTAAGAAACCTATTTTAGGAAGACAACAGTGATTCTCAGAAATGAAACATATAAGTGTTTCTTTAGCCTAATGCAACCTCAGCTAGCGTTTATAAAACAGATCCTACGCAATGATATGCACTAAACGATGATGACGAGGTCAACAGCTTTGCAGTATAAAGCTACATTTAGAAATGCAAGTTATCAATTAATGAGTTAGTCTAAAGTTGATTGATCTGACTGGTTAACTAACGATTAATTGGGTTCTTTTCATAATATTAAAAGGCCAAATTTTAAAACAATATGTTGACTTTTAATCAATGATATGCATTACTATATTATTACATTTATACTGTATATATACTGTATATATACTGTATATATTATATTGTATACTGGCTGCATAAACAAAAAAACTAAAAAATTGATTTCTCACACATTTTACAACTTTGACATAATTTAAAAATATAGCCAAAAAAGTAAATGAACAGATTAAAATCACAGAATATAAGATGAAACAGAATATGTCATAAAACATGTGAAACACCTATACTCTCCCATGAGCAGAGATTTAAAACTGTTATTTAAAAGCAGAGTATGTGACTCTGACAGGCTGTCACGTTGCTTTCCCCTTCATGTCGAGTAGATGGATGGTAACTGATATAGTCTTCTGTATTTTGAGTCGTCCAACAATCATTGGTTGGAGCGTCACATTGTGCCTGTTAGCCGTGCTTCCAAAATAGAGGTAATGGTTGGTTTGGAAGGAATTAAAACAAATATGATTAAAATTAACATTTATTTGCTGAAAACACTCAGTAGCACAGCCTTTCCCTGGTTCAGCTGCCCCCTTGTTTAATTTTTAATGGATGACATGTGACTGACATTCTTGTGAGATCTTTACCCGTTAATATTCACTCACCACCTTGTTTCAAACATGCTGGTTAATGCAAGTCCTACAAACAGCATGTAGGACTGTGCATGCTGGCCTATTTTCCTGCAGAAATACTATGTAGGCCATCAGATACCAGGCGACATCCTTTATGGTTGCTGCTTCAGTCTCCTGAGATCAGAGCTGCGCCTTCCCCATTATCTAGGATAGGTAAAGGGCCTCTTTATGCTTGGATCCAGGAAAGAAAGTTTGATACTTTGTACATGAATGCTGATGGAGAAGCGGTGAAAACAGAGCCACCATTTGATTGAGCAGCTGTGTGTTGTGATGACTTCAAGGTTGCTAAAAGATAAAAAAAGAGGAAAATATGTTGTCTTGACAGTTTTGACATTCTTTTGGTTTCCCCACCCACAATGCTACATAAGTTGGTGGTGTGCATATTAGGATCACTTGAAATCATGTTTCTTCACAGCCTTGCATGTCTGCAGTGTATGCTATTTGTGGCATTTCTACATTGGTCTACCGTTAAGGTTTTCTAGTTAAAAGAAGTGATTACTTTGGTGCTTGTTTTTCATGGCTGTTTTTTGATTTTCTTTCTTATTCCAGACAAAAACCTGCTAGTGTTTTAGCAGGTGCTTTAAACAAGCTTGTCCTCTCTGCTGTGTTTGAGGACAACATGTTCCTGTACTGAAACAGGCTTTCTGTCTAATTTGCTATAATCAGCAATGCCAGGCTTTTTGGTGTGGGTTTTAAAAAATGTTCAGCTTATTAGCAACATACAGCTTTAGTATTGTTCTTATGTTACATTTATTGTGTTTAAAAACTGTATGAGTGTGGAGGAGAAAATTATATATGCTATTCAAAATATACAAATAAAAACCTGAAGACTGTGGATTAGTGCATATACATTCAGCCCCCTTTAACTTAATACCCCCAGTGAAAATCAGTGAAAACCTGTTAGTAATTCTATCTCACTGTGAATATAGCCATTCTTTGAAGTACATATCAAACATGGAGCGGAGTGCTCAGACTATCCCTGAACTCACAATTCCCACTATGATGCATGGTGGTGTCAGTGTTATGCTAGGGGGTGTATTTCTGCTGCAGAAACGGTGAAGCTGACTGAAATTGATTGGGAAAAAAATGTAGGGAAACACAGGATAGGTATAGATGAAACGCCGTAAGAGAGTATAAAAGATATGAAAATGGCCGCAATAAAATTATTACGGTCTATGCTTGTAATGATCCGACGGATTTAAACCTTAATTTGATTGAAGTCGTTTTTGTGCAGGATTTGGCTAAGAAAGGCTTCATACAACTGAACACTTTTAAAGGCTGCTGATTACATGATCTGTTTTCATTGAATGGTTATTTACTAATTTTTGTCAGAGCATCACATCAAATCTGCAAAACCCAAAGGTTTTTGTTTGTAACTTCTCTAAATAAAAAAAATAAAAATAAAAAAGATGAAGCTCAAAGAACACCAAGGCTTTGCTCATAAGGGAGCTATACAGTACATGCAGTGTCCTAGTGACTGTGATATACTTTAAGTTTATGTACTGTAGATTCTGGATGGCTGGTAACTTCATTGCCTATTCTCTGGATTGGATTGAGACAGCGTGAGATGAGTATAAGGTCGAATAAGCTTTGCCAAGCCTTCGTGTCTGCTTGTTAGCATTCTGCTAAAATTAGGAAACTTTTTGGAAGTCCAGTATCCTGGAGCAGATTCTTTGCCGGAGGGGCTGGAACTGCAGCATTGAGCCTAATTAACATACCAGTTAGACCAAACATGTTATGGTTGATCAGCACAACTCTTCAATCTTGATTGTAACCTGTTCCTCAGTAAACTCCATTTCAGTGGTGAGAGCTGTGGGAGGGACATATCCACGTCTGCAAGGCATTGTTTACCGACAAACACCCTCATAGTTTCAGGTGCTCGTTATGGGAAAATTGTGAGAGAGCCAAGTTTGTTTTACCAGGACATTCCCAGTGTTTACTCACCATACAGAGAGAAAGCAGTAGAACTTGATATGGGAATTTAAAGTTCCTGCTTAGTAACAAAAGAATCCTTCTTAAATATTAAGTTAAAAAAAAATCCCATTAGAGGGACTAAAGCCTGAAACTATTTGGGTGTAGGGAAATATTGCACAATTATGAAAAATGGATTTTAAATTAGGAAAACAAAATTAATGCATTTGAGGAAAAATGCATAGAATGAGTCTAACAGGAGTCCCGTCTTCTTTGGCAAATATGTATAAGACTTTCAAATGTTCTATTTTCTTATTTACATTTGCACAATTTCCTGATTTTGCAAACCACTAAATAAGCTATACAGATGAAACATTTTTATCACATTCAAAATAACTTCTAAGATTTGTATTTCATATTTGTAAACCCAGTGATAGCCTGCCAGTGAATTTTAAATCATTTCACATTCATGAAAGGGTTTAATTTTTCTAACCACAAAGTCAATCATATGGAAACATTTTCCAAAATTGATAATATTTATTTATCTTTTTGATCCGATATAGTTTATGTTTTATTTATTTTGGGTTTTCCTTGCCCTCCAGGGTTTTATGGAGCCCCTAAGGTTTAGAAATAGCTTTGTTATCCTTTCCAGACTGATCTTGTTATTTTATTTGTCATTTATTCATACATTTCTGTAGATTTGGGTATGGTGTGTTTCTTTATTGAGATGTTTCAGCCTACTTTGTGTTGTCAGATTTTTCTCAAGTGACCTCTTGATTATAGATCCGACAGTAATTAGCTTAGGCATGGCTAATGAAATTTAACCCAAAACATCAGCATTAAATTCTGATTACTCAAGGAGGTCATTTCTTTTTTCACATAAGCCCAGGTTGCTATGAATACCCTTTGTCCCTTAATGCATTACTGTACGTTAAAACCAATTAGTATGAACAACTTTTTGTTCTTATCTAATTTTTATTGTCTTTGGTGACAATTATATTCAAAAAAGAGAAGAAATCTGTAAGCTGGGAATTACCTTTTCATAGCACAGCAAAAAAAAAGCAATTGAAAACAAGGGTAACAGTGAAATCAGTAAATTTTAATTTTATTAACTGCTGTGAGAAACGTATCCTATCCTTTCCTTGAAGAGAGCAATGATTGGTTTTCAACAGCTATCTGTCAGTTCTAGTAGAAAACAGATGATGATTTTCTTGTGAAATCCATCCTGTGAATTTTACAGCCTGACATGTTTTTTTATCATCAAGACAGACCATGACATTTCAGCATGATGTCATCCCAGATTACAGTCAGGGTGGATCCTAGCCTCGAGTGGGTTAACATCTGGCAGCTTCACAGCTTCGGACCCTCCTACCCACCCACTGTGACTTTCTCTCCTTCTGTCTCCTCCTACTCACGTTTCTCTATAGCGGGCTGTTGCAGCAAGGCAACATCATGGAGGCTGGATGTGTGGTTGCCGCGGTGATTGAGAATGCTGCCTCAGGACCCCAGAGAGAACCAGGAAGTAGTGGCGTCCTTGAGGGGTGAGTTACTATTTTTCCTGGCTTTGTCTGCTTACCTGGATCATAAAAAGTAGTTCAGTTGAATGTGGTTTGTTGGATGCTGCTTAACAGGCACGTGGGAATTTGCATTTGAGATGTGATATTAAAAAACGACCCAGTTATCATAGTGAGATAGAGACAAACTGTTCTTCTTCTTTTTTTTTCTTTTTTTTTAGCTCTGTCAGCTTCAAACCCCACTGTCTTCCTTTTGTTGTACTCATTGAATTTGTTGAGTCCTCTTGGATCCCATAAATGTTGATGTGTGTGTCTGGGTTCCAGGCCATATTTCCAGGTTTGATCCAGCTGAATCAATGTAAGACAGCCAAACTCTCTGCAGTCTTTGTTCCTTATAAAAGTTTTCCCTGAATGGACCTCACCCTGCACTCCTGAACACATTGAGTCACATTTCAAGTGAAGGTTTTGTGAAACACTCCCTGTGGGTGGATTGTCTTCATGGATGACTGAATACATGAGCTTTGAGTGCACATAAAAGAGCCAGTGAATCGAGCACACTGATGTAAAACAGGGTTTCTCTGTAATTGCAGATAGATCCAGCTGACTGGCATATATTTTTGTGTTTATTTTTATTTTTTTTGACATTTTGGATTCAGAAATAACATCTTCAGCATGACATGTTGCTGGTGCAACGTCATGATTTCAGAACAAGCTGCTTGGATAATTTCCTCCTCACTTGCTCCCTCTGGTGGATCAAAATAATAATTATAAAAACTGTGAGCCTTGCCAGTTTTAAACCCCTTCTTTTGCTTCTTCTGCAGTGATTTGTTACCATCTACTGACCTCGAAAAAGATGATGGATTACCTCAAGTTACCAACATTATTCCTCCTGGGGAGAAGCAGCCACAAGAGACATCCACTGCCCTGGTACACTCCTTTACACATATGGCGCTGACTCATATCCCTTGCAATACAATACATAAAACCCAACAGACATGTTGTCCTTCCTCTGTGAATCCGTTTTGGTTTTTCAGCTGGTTCTTCTAATGTCCCCTCAACATGTTAAAAGATTTCAGAGCAAAATTTCTAATTTATTTTCCAATTAGGGTCTAACCACACAAGCAGGCATACATACATACATATTACCACTATTTGTTGTAGTTTGTCATTGAGAATTTAAACAGTTGTTATAACCATCAACAACCTTTTATGGTCATTTTGGATATTTGAAGTATTTTTCTATCCCAGGTTTTTTTAAATCATCTGGCTTTCAATTATAGACCATGAATATTATTTTGGTTGAGGTCAGAACTATTCCAGTAGCTTAAAGTTAACCTTGGATTTTCTACATACTGGTTCTAGTTTGTGTAGCAAATTATTTTCCCAGTGGAATAACAGTATCAAAGTGGGAAATGGGCAAAATATTAAACTTATTGCCCTACTTAGTTATTTATTCAACATGGAGTTGGAGAATTTGAAAAGAATTATCCTTTTTTATCATGTCATATACTAATAGATCAGTATCAGCTGTTAAAGAGACCTTCAGAATGGTTTTTAACTTGAAAAAGCTGCATGCTTGCTGTATGTTTCGCCAAAGAGTTCAAACTTCTTTCAAGGAGCCATTTGACAAGTGTAAAAAAAGAAGCCATCTTTGTCTTCTTCATCAGAAACTTAAATTAAAAGAGGCTCTTATTAAAAAAAAGGGGGGTTTAGATTTTAAACAGGAGTTGGATTCAGAACCTAAAAACTAAAGACTTCATTTAGATTCATGATCTGAGAAATTAATCTTATTAGCAATCTTGATCTCATGGAATCAGGAGTTAAAGCAGGCTGGTATGTTAGCTAGAGACCCATTTTACTGGATAGTAACATTTACAAAATGTTTTCTGTTAATAGTTTATAACAATGTGTTTATGTTGGCTGTAATTACATAAGGAAAACTATGGAATGCCTGTCCATAATTGTAACTACAATTATAAATGTCCAAACCAAGTAAAAGCTAAAAAAGACAAGAAGCTGCTACATTTTCGATATTTTACATGTGAGTTTCTATAGGTTAAACTATTATCCATAAAGTTCCTGTTAATTTGGTGGAATGTCTGAAGCTAAGTGTCTAAAACAAACTGAAAGAGGAAGTGATGTTATCAGGAATTCTGACTGTTTACCTGAAAACAGTTTTGTAGATAACGTAAATGTTTTTGTTTAAATTGAAAAATCCTGATTCATCGATAAATGTAAGACATATCCAACCTATTCAACTTGACTGTCATCTAATGAAGAACAAGGCTATAATTTTTATTTTAAAAACCATTAGATGTATGAGTGTGCTTTCTTTATGTTCCAAAGACATGTGATAAGCAATTTCTTTATCTCTGACCCTGTTAATGGCTTCTGTTTTTGACAGATGAAGAGTGATGACATCACAGAACACCCTGCCGAGCCCCTCCTGTGCTCCTGCGTCAGCACAGCAAGTATGAAGGTCAAGAACATGAAGAAGTAGGTGCTCTCAGTTGCTACTATTAGGGAGTATTTCACTGGCCTGAATATAGCGTTTCTATTCAGGCCAGTGAAACGATGGCCTGTGTTCTAAAGAAAGGTGCCTCTCACACTGATGGGTCAGTGTGAATCTTAAATGCCACCCTCACACATAAACCTGACCTCTCTTCCTCCTTTTCTTTGCTTTGCTTTGCTTCATCACAGTGTCAGCGTGTCTTGAATGTTGATGAGTTGCTGTTCTGTGTGTTCTAGGCTAACGTTCCCAAGAGGTCACTTCCCCAGATTGGCAGAGTGTGCCCATTTCCACTATGAGACTGTTGATTTTGGCAACATTCAGGTGAGCTCTAAAAATACTTGGCAGAGAGTTATTAGCTTCCAGAACGCTGCATATGGAGAATATTTATTGTGCTGAGGGAGAATCAATATCCTTGTTTGGGTTTTCTGGACAATCGTTACAGCAATTTCCCTCATACACTTCACAGGTCATGTAAGAAACATAAAACAGGTAGTTATGCTATGGCATTTCTGGATGACAGATTTAAAGTTGTAGGGAAAACATATTGAAATGTCCAATTATTCTGGCTTAAACATGTATATAAATATACTCTTTATCAGACAATATTATCCCCAAATTTAGTAAATTTCTATATAAAAAAAAAAATCCTATTTTAAAATCTGTCCAAAAAGGACCAAATTTTTTTTTGGTTATCTTATGCAGGCCAGTTAGCTATACGTCAGCCGGAACACCTAAATTCAGCCAATGATATATCAACGGTCATCTGTCCATTAAATTTTTTTGGTCATCTTGATTCATATGTCGCAGCTAATATACGCAACGGTTGAAATAAGAAATAAGAATAATTTACTTTACCATTGAGTTACGTCCCAGTGTTCACGAAAATGGAGGTCTGTGCCTTTAACAGGCATAGAGCTAACAGAACTTGCAGCATTGTGAGGCAAGGGCTCAAACATGTACGGCTGTAAGCCATCTCCACCAAACAAAGCTTCTGCCGACCACTTCCACAACATCTTCGTCCCCACTTTCCTCCACTAAATAAAAAATCTATGACGGACGAGACTCATCCACATCCTCCGACACAAAACTCTCCTCTTGCATGTTTCGCTGTCCATAGCGTTCCGTGACAGTGTCGTTTCTAAGTCACCAATTTAGTGCTACTTGGTCCCAATGGAATTTCCCATTGGGAACCTACTAGCTCTAAGTTGGTAACTGGTTAGCAAGATTCTTCTGAGACACCAGCCACAATCACACTTGTTTGCAAACCTTCCGCCACAACAACGCCACCCTCTTGATAAACGACCAATCACATTCACTTTATTTACTAGTGTAAAGTTCTGCACCACTTGGGAGAATTCGGAAATGCAGCGGTTGGAACGGCCGCTTCCCTACGACTTTTAAAGTACAGCTAGGTGAAATGGGTGATGTCACTGTTAAAGAGGCTTTGTTTACTTCTAGTGTGACTAAGAGATGTGTGTACAGGAATTTACTGGAAGGATTGTATCTTGATGGTTACTGGATACATAGCTCACATTTTGGAACATCTCTAAACTGTTTAGATAACTTATCTACAGACTCTGCTATTGTTAATAAAAAATTTTTTTGTCAACTTTTACCACTGGGTTGCTCAAACTTATGAGTCTGGATTAGAAGACAACATAATCTTATTTCTGGTCCAGAGAATGATCATTTATTGTGGACTAGCAAAAATGAACGACTGCTGTCAGGAACCCCAGTACACTTTAAACATTGGTTTCAGCATACATCATGATTTGCTTTTTGACCATTTAGATCTAGAAGTATGTTTTAATGACTTACTTTAATAAAACACCAGGTGTTGGTTCTTTAAAGCAGGTAATTCTATTCAAGCCAAGTGATAAATATGATAAATCCATCCATCCATCCATCCATCCATCCATCCATCCATCCATCCATCCATCCATCCATCCATCCATCCATCCATCCATCCATCTTGGCTTGACTTGTTCTGGAACTCTAAGTCTGAAAATTACTACAGTAGACGGATGACCTGGATTTTCCCCACCTTTTTACACAATTTGGCAACCCAAAAGTCCACAATGATCAATTAACACGGAGGAGGCACGAAATACACCAATGGCCATAAGTAAACATACAGACCACCATGCTAAAAGTAGTTATTGTTTATGTGCATCAGATAACCATCTGGCAACACAAAACATTAGCTGATGTCAGCCGATTCTATTAAATCAAGCAGTGAAAAAATAAAAGACCACTTTCTCTAATCCAGAGGCACATTTTATTGCTAATATTAGCCCAAATTTTATCTGTGTCCTCATAATAACTTTAATAGCGGACATCAGATCTGTTTGGTTAAATCCTTGAGTGAAAACATGGACTGATTGTATGGGTGAAATGGAAGTTTTGCACATGGCTGATGTCAATGGAACAAGTTTTTGGGAGGAACACGCTGATGCATGCCTATGCATCCATGCTGGTAGAATTAAGATGTTTGAGTTCAGATTTGTGGTCTTTCAACACTGCAGTGAATTACAGGGAGACTGATCCTACCTCAGTGTTTAGAAAGTCCTCCGTAGAATCTCTGACAACATTTCCCCTCCTTTGAACTTCATAAATCAGTTTCTAAAAACACATTACGTATATGAATTCAAATCAGGAGATTTTTTCTGATTGATTTTGTCTTGGGACAATATTTTATGGACTGATGCCCAAGCTTGGTGTTTCTACTGATAACATTGTACCTCTTTTGCAACATGCTTTCTTGGTTACCACGTTCTCTCATTTGTCTGTTGCATTTTTATGGGCACCCCTTTCAATTTTGCAATTTTATAAATACTAAAACCTTTCTCAAAGGGATTTTTTTAAATAACAGCACACAGTATATGTGACAATGTTTAAGAAGGGGTAGTGCTAAGGAGAGTTTTCAGGTCTTTATATTTGTTCACTTATGTGCTAAAGTATGAAGGACCAACTCTGCCATATTTAAAAATAAATACAGAAATACATAAATGCTCAATAAATGTATAAGCATACAATTATTTGCCAACAAAAAAGTGAGACATAAATGTATATAACTCTTAATTAGCTACTTTATTTTTTAATTACTTATATTTTTAAGTATTTATTTATGTGCATGTTATAATATTTTTGTCTGTTTTATTCTTCCTTTGTATTTTTTTACCTTAGTTATTTCTTCGCCGCTGTTTATTTCTCTCTGCCCTTTTTACATTTCTCTCTGCCCTTTTTACATTTCTCTCTGCCATTTTTACATTTCTCTATGCATTTCTGTCTCATTATGCAAATGAGGAGGGGGTGTGTCCTAGAGAGTCAACTTCTGCTCATTGGTTGGCTTGGCGGCCCATCTTCTTAACTCACAGAGCTCAGAGTACTAAGTTAAATGTTCTCTTTTCTGTTGCTGTTGTTCAATAAAAGTACGTTTTAAGATCATTTGAGGCGAGAACCTTATACTTTTAAGCATCACCATATGGCCCATTCACAGATTTAATGCGTAATTTAAAAGAAAATGTGACGAACTTGAGAGGACCGTGGCAACCAGCGGAGCTCCGAAGCTGACGGCAGCCAGGTCTAACCGCAGCCCGTCTGCAGCGGCCCTCTCTCGGCATAGCCGTGTGTGAAGCGTGTTGGTTAGCATTTTACTACATCGGTCGAATCTACAGGAGGAGAGTCTGATGTCGAGTCTGAAGTCATTAGAACTTGAGTATGGACTTTGCCAAACTTTGCCAAATACAACAAAAAATCGCCATCATAGCCTGGCTATAGACCTGGCTGCCATCAGCTTCGGAGCTCCGATGGTTGCCACGGTCCTCTCAAGTTCATCACATTTTCTTTTAAATTACGCATTAAATCTGTGAATGGGCCATATGGTGATGCTTAAAAGTATAAGGTTCTCGCCTCAAATCATCTTAAAACATACTTTAATTGAACAACAGCAACAGAAAAGAGAACATTTAACTTAGTACTCTGAGCTCTGTGAGTTAAGAAGATGGGCCGCCAAGCCAACCAATGAGCAGAAGTTGACTCTCTAGGCCCCCCCCCCTCCTCATTTGCATAATGAGGCATAAATGCATAGAGAAATGTAAAAAGGGCATAGAGAAATGTAAAAAGGGCAGAGAGAAATGTAAAAAGGGCAGAGAGAAATAAACAGCGGCGAAGAAATAACTAAGGTAAAAAAATACAAAGGAAGAATAAAACAGACAAAAATATTATAACATGCACATAAATAAATACTTAAAAATATAAGTAATTAAAAAATAAAGTTGAAGATTATAAAGGACAGAAAAATAAATAAGAAGTTGAAGATTATAAAGGACAGAAAAATAAATAAGGTAAATATTACAAAGGCAAATAAATAAAGAAGCTAATTAAGAGTTATATACATTTATGTCTCACTTTTTTGTTGGCAATTAATTGTATGCTTATACATTTATTGAGCATTTATTTATTTCTGTATTTATTTTTAAATATGGCAGAGTTGGTCCTTCATACTAAAGGCTTCATTAACTAACTTGTAGTTTGGTTTGATCACCAGCAGAGTGCATCACTAATCTCTGCACAACTGTAAGGCGCTACCCTAGCTTAGCACAGCCTCAGTGGTGCATGTGATGCTCAAGGAGCTGAATCCTTGCATTGCCGCATTTATGGGCTGTCTTGCAGGAGGCTAAATCGTAAACATTTTCACTCTCTTCGGCAAAATTATCCACAGCAGCTGCCATTGCTGTTGCATCTGCTGTTTTTAAACTGAATTAAAATAGAACAGAAACAGAAGCATTATTTTTTGGGGACAGTAATATTAAAGGCAGAACTGCATAGGAAGTTCAATGTTCTGCGCAATCGGGGGTTCTTTAACTAAAGAACATGTTTTTTTTTTCTGGTTTTCCCTATTCATGCATAAGGCTGCATGTGCATTCACAATAGTCTTAACAGCAAAGACGAAGCAGTGATCAGGTCTCATGTGTCCTGCCTGCAGAACAGCACAAGGGCAGCAGACATCCTCCACCACATTTGTCTCCAGATTAGCGCCAGTCTCGCCTTGATAAGACATCAGTTAGAATTGGAGGGTTGTCTGTCTGTCTCATATTGCTGTATGATGGATGAGAATATGCATCTGTGTGTCCCAGATGAACCCATTTATAGGCAAACCTCCTTTTGTCGCTGGAGTGAGGAGATCGGTTAAGAGGGGGGAGGGGGATGGAGTACAGGAGAGGGAGGAGGGGTAAAAAGGGAGGCAGAGGCAGGGGCGTTAAGATACTCAGAGGGAAGCATTCGTGTCTCATATTTTCTGCTTTCTATAGCTCACTGGTGCATGGGGGTCCAAAGCTCTGCAAATAAGTGTCTGCATGCAGCGCGGTGGGACAGTAAACAGGCGAGTCAGGAGCAGCATTTAAACCCTTTTACTCTCAGCCAAGATTTTTTTTTCTTCCTTTTTTTTGAGGAGCGTGCTGTAGTCCCGCACACAAAGAAGAACCACTTACTTCATCCGCAAATGGATATCTGAGATGCTCTAGTGGGAGGTAACATGAATAGGGCCCCTGGCTATGCATTTATTGTTTAGTGAATAAATAACATAATGCAGGTTTGTTTATGGGAAACTGATGGGATACTTTATTTTATTTTAAAAGCATGTGTGCACTGTGATTAAAAAAAAAACCACAACATTTTTTTGCCTAATTTTGGATAATTTATCAAGGCTTCTTTTTATCTGCCATCCTCTCTATGGTAACTGGATCTTTGACCCTTTGACTGTACCATACCTTAAATAGCTTTGTAGTTCGGAGTCATAATTAAAGACAAATATCCTTGCAGTGAACAGCATTTTCCCCATAACGGCTCATTTAAAAATAATTTTCTCAGTCTGTGGTCTTCATCAGTTTGGTGAAACTAGGTCGGCCCATGTTGTGTAACAGTGTATCTGGATGAGCTGCAAACATTTATAAATAACCAAAACTTCCTCAGAGTGAAGGCCTCTGAAGTCTCCACCAACATCTTTGATCTCTCGTTGTGTTGAAATCCCATTATCTGCAAGCTCATAGAAAAAAATATATATATCATGCATATAAAGGATAGAGGATAAAATAATATAGATCTTATAGTTTATACATCTTGTTTTATGACTAGACACTTTTTGTATCCCAGGTTTGAAACAGAGCGTTTTTTGCATCATGCTCATCTATTATTTATACACCATCCTAAATCCAGGCTCCTCTGTTTCTCCTTCCTCTCGTTTTTTTTCTACATAGTTGGCCTTGGCAGAGGGGCAAAACGAAGGACCAAAACCTGGTCTGGATAGCAAAGAACTTGTTTTTTTGGTCCAGATCACTTGCCAGGTAATGTCACCTCAGTATAAGCAATATTTATGGATTTTCAGCTTAACATCCTTTACATCTTCCTTTAACATCTCAGTCGGAGAGCCCTTTTTTTTAGTAATCTTTCAGCATCTAGTATTTACTTTTCATTGTGTCCATCAGGGTCGAAACTGGCTGGTGAAAAGATCTTATGAGGACTTCCGGGTCTTGGACAAACACTTGCACTTGTGTATCTATGACCGTCGTTACTCCCATCTCACCGAACTGCCAAGATACGACACCTTAAAGGACACTGTTGAGGTATGGTAATGTTGGACCACCTCCATATAAAATGCCTTGCAAAAACGTTTTTGTCATCTTACAACCATAACCTTGCTTTTTGTCGTTTTGGTGGTGTGTGGTGTAACCAATTAACCTGACAACAGCCAGATGCATGTCTCGCTCCGCCCAGCTCCACTCACATACATCTGGGAACCCGCTCATTGAAAGTGATTTCCCCAACCGAATTTATGGTCTGTCCAATCAGGACGCAGGGTGGGTGTGTCCTGGAGTGGAGAAGCAACCGTGAGATTCCAACAACAATGGCGGCTCGCATTGAGGAAGCAAGCGTTAGCATTGATGCTGCTATTTCTTCTGTGTCAAATCTATCTGATATTGTTTCATTAAAAGAACATCAGAGAACGGCTTTGAAGGCTTTTGTTGGTGGAAACTATGTTTTCGCTCTTCTTCCGACCGAATTTGGCAAGAGCTTGATCTACCAAATGGCTCCTCCTCTCACAGCGTCACGGGTTAGCTTCGGTGTGAGTGGTTGAAATAGCACGTCAATAAAGATGACAGACAAGTGGCTTATCCAATCATATGCAAGGAATTTTGATAAGGCCCAGCCTTCAGTAAAGGCAATTCCTATGGCGGGTTCCCAGATGTATGTGAGCGGAGCTAGGCGGAGCGAGACATGCATCTGGCTGTTGTCAGGTTAGTAACCAATATCTATATTTTAGTTAACCTCCACATCACAATATTGTGCTCTATGAAAGACACCAAAGTTTAGGGTTGTAAAATGACTGGTGAGAATTAAGTACCATTTAAGTACATTTGTAGAGTCTAATATAAATGCTGCTTATGTGACATTATGTATTATGTTTGGACTTTATTGAGATTTGCCTTTTTTGTCTCTCTTCAGTTAGTCGCCACAATGCTGAATAACTACCTGTCCCGCTTTTCTGCCATCGCGGACAACAAAATCAACTGTGGACCAGTATTAACATGGATGGAGGTAGTAGTTATTTAAGGCTGGGATTCTTATTTATAATGTAAACCCTAAACTGAGATACTGAAGTGACAGGTGTTTAACTGTAGCCAGCAAATTTACAGATTTTAGATGAACTGATGGAAAAATAGGTTATGGTTGAAATGTAATGGATAAGAATAAAATTTGTTATCGCTTGCTGGTAGCATAATCCTTAAGTGTGGGTTTTCACATCCCTGTTAAAGGCGGGGTTTGTGTAATATCAGTAATCCAGGAAGGGGGTTTGCCATGGCTTAAGTGGATATACAGTAGTGGTGCAGAAAAATGTAGGTGCATGCAGCTTTTCCTATCCAATATGAAGTGGAAGTCTAATGATCAGTTAAACAATGAGAGATGCCTCTTGCACGAATTGTAAGCATGCACGGCTTAATTAATCTTGCATATCTGGAGAAAAATGTCTTAGTTAAGTATTTACATATTTAATTTCGTACAAATTTATTTTATAGCTCCAGGTTTTTCATACTCCAAACCACCAGAAGCCTGAACAATATTTTTGCTGAATGACATTTCTTTTTCTCTGCCTTCATCGCAGCAGCTACAGAAATAAAGTGGTTTTAAGGTGTTTACATCCATTCATTATTAGGGGCCTTTAAATTTTTTTTCTTTTCTTTTTTAGGTGGGTTGCAAATTCAATGCATGACTTTAAAAGAGTTTCTGACGGAAAAAGTTGAAATTATTGTGGATTTTCTCTTATTCATGCAAATTCCTTATAATAGCCAGCTCCATCATTCCAAAACAAACTTGGCTCATTTTCCTGTTGGATCATCAAATTATGTCCAAGTTTAATTGTAAAGCTGTTGATATAAGCTAATGTAGTATATTCTGAATATGGTCCTATTTTATTAGCCCACTCACTTGTAATGCTGTAGTACCACTGTAATCAAACCAAAGCTTGACACTTTCTTCGGTTTTAAAGCCTCTTGGAAAAACCTCCTCCTTTGTTAAATAGCTTAATCTTTGTCTTTCCAAACGTTATTAAGAAGCTATTTGATATACCTGTTAGTGCAGAATATGTTGTTTTTTTCCCCAAGAGACTAGTATTGATTTAAGATAGAGATCTTAAATTAGTTTACCTTTGTATATTAATAATTTTAGAGGTTTCTGGGCTGTTCTCTCACACCAATCACTCTTCTTTGTGTAGAATTTATTTTAGCTGTGTAAAACTAAACTAAATTGTTGTGTCTTTTTCTATAGTAGATTAGCAGAGACACTTATAACTGGTTTTGAGTTAAAAAAATGAGTTTTTGTTAAACTCTTGGAATGGCTTTTCCAAACCCCAAAACAAAGTCCTATTGAAAATATTTGATGGTGACTAAACGCTGGGTCGGTGCCAGAAAGAAAATTATCTAACTTTAACATTTGGAGTGCAGCAGAATAAATGGGTAGCATCTTGTTCAGTTTTCCAAACCTTGCAGTTAACTACATACTAACTGAATGCTTTAACACAGGACGTATTCTGGAACTGCAGTTTGATTTGCTGAAATTATGTCAAACAGTTGAAAATCATTATTGTTGTATCTAATTTTGAAAATCATTCATAATTTGTTTTCACAGATACAAATAGATTAGTGCAATCGATTAACCTGTGTCACTTCGTATTAACAGTGAAACCCCTTCAAACGTTATTAGTTACAAAAACAAAACAGGATGTTTTATGATTTTATTGTTCTCTGCTTCTCCTATGCTTTGTCTCCTAATAAATCGTGACCAACTCCCACTCCCAGCTTTAGCCAACATGTATCTGCTGTTTTTATTTTTAGATCGACAACAAGGGGAACCATCTGCTGGTTTCTGAAGAAGCTTCGATCAATGTCCCAGCCATTGCTGCCGCCCACGTCACCAAACGCTACACTGCTCAGGCCACAGATGAGCTAACCTTTGAGGTAAATGCTGCAGTAGAAGATATACTTAGTCTTCAATCAGTATATCAACCATATTTCTATACTATGGTTTTTCAACTTTTTGTGGAGATGAGCTTCTTAAAAATGCATTGTCTGACTTAGGTAGGAGATATTGTGTCTGTCATCGACATGCCTCCAAAAGAAGACACAGGCTGGTGGAGGGGGAAGCATGGCTTTCAGGTAAACCTGCTCTACACACTTTATACTGAATTCTAAGTAATCTCAATAAATACAAAGGCAAAACTTTTGGATTTCCTCTCATTTTTTATGAGATGAACTCAAAAACCTACCACTTTTTTCAACACATGCTCCACTTGTGGAGCGCAACATTGTGCATTTAGAAAAAGTTTTAGATCTTTGAATTAATCTTATAAAAATGGGAGCAAAACCAAAAGTTTTGCCTTTATATTTTTGTTGAGTATATAATTTGCCTTATTGGATACACAGTACACTAACGGTGTATACATTATTTAGTCTAATTTGCCAAATGATTGTAAATGAGAATACAATAAAATCCATATACCTCATTTAAATGAACCTGTCAGAAGAATGTTTCTTTTGTTTCCCCTTTAAAGTATGATTTTTTTTTTTTATAAAAGTTTTAATGTTTTAATTTTATAATATAATTATAAAATTAAAGCTTTTATTTTGAAAAACATCTCACCTTAAAGGGAAAGTAAGATGTTTTCTTAATCTCCTAATCCAAATGGATAATGTTGATCTTTCAAAGTGGAGCTCAAAGATGCTTTCCAAATTTCAAGCCTTAATTTTGCCAATGGAGGTAAAGCAGACATAAATAAGATTATAAATTATATTGAGCTAATTATTACTCATCATCATCATTACTTATAAATAGTGTTGCACCGATACCAGTATCGGGTGGGGCCCCAATCCAGCACTAAAATGGTCGTATCGGTATCGGAAGGTACCAACAAATAGGGTGCCGATACCATTTTGAGAGCCAAAAGTTTATTCAACTATTTTAGGCATTTTACATCCAAGTACTATGCAGTTCTTCATATATACACACACAAATCAGTTTCAAACAGAATGCATCGGTATGGTATCGGTATCGGCCAACGCTGCACAGCCAGGTATCGGGTATCAGTATCGGGCCAAAAAAATGGCATTGGCGCAACACTACTTATAAATGTGATAGATTATAGCATAGATAGATCACATTATCAATCAAAATATTGCATTTATAATAAAATATTTATTCTATTAGTAATAATAAGAATGCCCCCTCTTCAAAAATAACTCATGTTATTCTATAAATATAAGTTCTCAGTCATCTTCTGAAAAGGAAAAAGCATTAATGAAAACATAATGTTGGGCATTGATGATCCCACAGATCACCTTAGAAAATAAATACCTTTTTCATGGGTTCATGCTTAAAGAAGCTTATTCAAAACAACCTGTCAGAGCTTTGGTAGTCGTTTGTTCTCATTATTCTAAAGACAACATCAACATTTATTCTCAAGTTCTAGAGTTTCATCAGATGAAACCAGAAACTCTAGAGTTTGGCTCTGTCAAGCAGACTGTGAAGCTGTCAGACTGCTGAACTTTTTCTGCATCTTCACAACGTTCTGCTAAAATACTTGCTCTGTATTTGCTTCCTCAGTCTCTTTTTGTCCTTGCAGGTTGGTTTCTTCCCCTGTGACTGTGTGGAGCTGATAAACGAAAAGATCCCTCCCAGTATTCAGAACTCAGTACCAAAGCCAGGTACTACTTAGTGTGCGTACGTGCTTGTTGAACTATCATAGAGGACCTAAACTACATCAAATGTAATAGTTTTTAAAGATGCTTTTGTGCTTGTGTGTTGAATCAGTGTGCAAGAAACATGGAAAGCTTGTAACCTTCCTGAGGTCATTTATGAAGTCTCGGCCGCCACCACAGAAGCTGCGTCAGCGTGGAATCCTCAAAGAGCGAGTGTTTGGCTGCGACCTGGGAGAGCATCTCCACAACTCAGGACACGATGGTGAAACATTGGATTTCATTCTTTTTTTTTTTTTTTTTTTTATTGTGTTGTGAATGTATTGTAATTTACTCTGAAATAAGATCTGCTTAGAGGTAAAACAAAGTAAGCCAAAGATTCTGTTCATAGAAATCTGATTCTCATAGCCAGCTATACTGAAACGAAATGAAATGGCAGTTATTGGATTAGAATCATGTTCATCTTCAATCTCTTTGTTTCATTTCCATCAGGACTCTCTGGCTGTTCAAATAAAGCTTGCTTTTTGCAGTTGAAGCCGAGATCTTAAAAATTTTATGTCTTTATATAATTTGAATTTAATTCAAATTACCAACACCAGTCCAGAGCTTTATGAAAGTTTTGGGAAATGTGATTAATAATTTAAGGCACATTTGGGTGTTAGTATTTACAGTCTAAGCTTTGTTTTTGTTGTTATTGGAATTCAACTTATGTCCTTTTTTTTTTAAATACCAAAAAAGGAGCATATCTTCTTGCAAAACAGATCAGCCCTCCTTTAATTGAAAATAGCCGTAGTATCAGATGGCATTAGGATTGTCAGAAGGGCATCTCGTTTAGTGATCCAGGCCTCAGCACCAAAGAGAATGTGCTCCACCATGATCAAAAACCTCAGAGTGCTGAGCATCTGCACTGCTTAAATGGTGCGGTGACTGGATTTGCTTCTTAAATATGGTGCATTTCTTAATTTTCATCTTACTTTAATGTTTCAAATCAAAGAAAAACCTTAATACAGACAAAAAATGTATTTGTTAAATACACAAAAACATACACATATGAAGATACTTCTCCATTCTGAATTCCTCTAAGGTTTCATATAATGTCTCTCTGCTGTGAGCTTATAACTGAAGTAGATTCTTGATTGTTCACAAAACCTAGTTTATTTCAAACCATAAAATATTTTAATAAGGCTTCCTCCTGTCTGGTTTGGCATGCCTTTGTCCAAAATTTGCCAAATTAATTAGCTTCTTTCTGACTTGGTATCATTACCACTGCTTCAAAAAATAAATGTTAAATTGTGAAGTATTGAATTTGTCAATGCCAGTTGTACCCTCATTTTATACATGCAGACTTTTATTTATTACTGGTGCATAGACATATATTTACACAAACATACAGCCAGACAAACATTATAAATTAATGTTTTTTTGTTTCCTGTAGTCCCACAGGTTGTTAAGAGTTGCGCTGAATTTATTGAGAAAAATGGAGTCGTGGATGGCATCTACCGACTCTCAGGGATCTCCTCCAACATACAAAAACTACGGTTTGTTCCTTCCCTGTAATTCATGATATACATTCAGATTCAAAGTGGTAACAATACAAGTCCATTGTTAAATAAGCAGATTTCCTCACCTGCTGAACATTTTATAGATGAAAGAGCCAAAGCATGATTGGAAGGCATTATGTGTGTGTGAATAGCACAGTTTAGTATAGTAAGTTTTTATTTGATTAAGAAAAGAGATTTAAATGTGGTTGAACAACATAAATTAAAACAACAGCATGATATGAGAATAAGATAAATCTAAGAGTGCTCCATATGTAAGTGGTGCTGCTGAAGAATTTTCTCTAGTAGACCAAATGTTTTATTTATGGTTAAATAAGAACAAAATAAATGAAAAAGTGGTCATTAATAAACACGCAATGATTGACCTGAGATGGATAGGTATTAGTTGCATAAGCAAAGGCTTTGTCAGCAAAGCTCCTAGACTCAATTAAGATAAAGTCATTAACATCATTTTAAACACCATTCTGCTTTTAAAAAATGCTTTACTTTGTGGAGCCAGAGAAAATCTTTTCTTATTCAACTTTCTCCAAAAAAAAAAAAAGGAAATATTACATACAATAAAAAGTCTATCTAGTATTTCATACTGAGATTGGTTAAAACCATGTCTATTTACTTGTTTTTTTCTAACATCTCATTTTGCTTTCCCCATATCTAGGCATGAGTTTGACTCTGAGCAGATCCCAGATCTGACCAGAGACGTTTTCAGACAGGACATCCACTCAGTGGGTTCCCTGTGCAAGCTCTACTTTAGAGAACTGCCCAACCCCCTGCTCACCTACCAGCTCTACGAACGATTCTCAGTAAGCATCAACGGATATGACTATAAAAATTCAATGGAAGCTGATATAGGATTCAGTCAGACTTTCTGACCTTTCAGTGATATACATAAAAGACAAAGGCATTTCATATTTTTTTTGTGAAACCAAAAGAAAATCCTGAATATGAAAGGGAGCAATAGAGTAGATATTAATGCAACCCCCCTCTGCCTGACTATTAGGCTTGCATGTGTGATTTGTGCTTTGTCCTCTGTGTCGTCACAGGAAGCTGTGTCTGCAGCTACAGAAGAGGAGAGGCTGGTAAAAATCCACAATGTCATTCAGCAGCTGCCTCCTCCTCATTACAGGTCAGATTCATAGCTCTCTGCTGCACCCTGCTGTCACAAAAGTGAATGTTTATCAGTCACTGTATCAATCTGTATCATTTTGGTCAAAGTTGACTGTTGTTGTACTTTTTTTTCTCCTTCTTTCTCAATCAGAAATGTCAACATATTTTATTTGGATTTTATTTGATACAAAAAATGAAAAGTGGTTATTTGTGAAATGAAAGCACAGTTTATTCAAAGTTATTTAATTTGATACACCAAACAGCAGCAACCAACTGCATGTAGAAGTTGCGAAATTTGTAAATAGAATCAATTTGTATGTCACTTACTGTAAGTGAAGTAACTCTCAATGCCTTAAATGTTTGATAGAGAACAATAGTGAACAATCTTAACCATAAGAATTGATTTATATCCAAAGGACTCTGGAGTACCTCATGAGGCACCTGTCCCGTCTGGCCACCTTTAGCTCTGTCACCAACATGCACACTAAAAACCTTGCAATCGTCTGGGCACCGAACCTCCTCAGGTGATTATCTTGGCCACAGCACTGTCAGAGATTAGCATTTGTTTTTAGCTCTTCTGTCACATCCAACTAGGGCACATCTCAGTGGTCCTGAAGAGCTGAAATAGGTCTCACTGTGCTCTGTTTCAGGTCCAGACAGATTGAGTCGGCCTGCTTTAGTGGCACAGCAGCCTTCATGGAAGTGCGAATCCAGTCGGTGGTGGTGGAGTTCATTCTCAACAACACAGAGTCCCTTTTCAGCTCCAAACTTAATGCTATTATAAGAGAAAGCACTGGTAGGTCCTTCTGAAGGAGTAAAACGTGGTTAAAAAAGATGACTGAGAGTATATTTATTCGTCTACTAATTTGTTTATAATCATCTTAGGTAACAACACTTTATCAAGACCAAAGTCTCTGATGGTTTGCTCCCCGTCCACTAAGCTGCTGTCTTTAGAGGAGGCACAGGCTCGGAATCAGACGCAGCTTGGGTCTCCGGCTACAACTCCCTCCCTCAACCCCAGTGACTACATTGAGGTCGGAGAAGGGCCCGAAGCTCTCCTGGGCAAATTTCACACTGTCATCGAACTGCCGACAGAGAGGTAGAGATTAAGACTTTCCAAAAAAAAAAAAAAAATGAATAACGAACTTTTCAAAACTGTTTCTTTTTCCTTTTTTTTTATTGTGAGGTAAGCAAAAAACTACACTCATGAGAATACAGAGTGGAATAAAGGTGACAACCACCGGCAGCATGAACAAATAAAAGCCAATGTAATAATATTTAAGGGGTAGAAAGATCTAAGTAAATCTAAACAATGTATTTATTAAATATATATCTGCAAAATCTCTTGTATCCAATAACAGTCAGTTAAGCAAATTGTGCAAAATAGAAATAAAAAAAATACAAATCCTATCAGATTTATAGTCCCCACATTGCAGATATATTAGAATCTGTCCTTAAATTACAGCGAAACCAATAATACAGTAACAGATAAAAACCTTTAGATAAATCAAACATTACCAACACATATGTCACTCAATGACCATTTAAAAAACAATTTTTACTAGTTTCAGACAGAACTATTCACATATTTGTATTATATTAAACCTCACTTCTAATATTCATCACTGTTTGGTGCCAAGTACCTTTTCCCTCTGAGCACAAAGCAGCCGGCTTGCTTAGACTCACAATGAATCGCGGGATATCCATGACTACGTAGGATACACCGGACCCGTCCTTCGGAGGACGCAGCCCCTGAATTCGAATTCAGCCTATATATGGGCGACAGAACAAAGACTGAGCTGATGAGCTCACAAGGAGCAATTGTACGGTAGATGGAAGCATTTAGAGCTAGTGTCAGGATTTGGTTGTGGTTAGAGGTCCCAAAAGCAGAGGTAGGGAGGCAGAGATGAGTTTCTTGCAGATTTAATGAAAGGTTAAACGACAACAGAGGCAGGAATCCAATAATCAAACATGAAAAAGGTAAAAAAACAAAACAAATAAGAAACCATGGAGACTACAGGGGAAAACCATCTCAACGAGGAAGACACGGTAAGACGAAGTTGGAGGAAGTTTGACAAGGAACCAGCACTGAGGAACTGCACAAGGAGTGTATTTATGGGAGACTGAACAAAAAGAAGACTAATGAGCAGATTGGGAGCAGGTGTGAACATAGCAGACTGGAAAGGAGCTAGAGGAAAAGGAGAACACCAGAGGGCAACAAATAAAAACCTGAAAACCTAAGATATAACCAGAAAACACAAAATAAGAATTAAACCAATAAAGCTAGAAAACATGGAGCAAAGTAAAACTGAATACTCAAAAGAAAACATAACAGAACCAAGACTATGACAGCTAGGGGAAGGAGACCGACATAAGGGGGCAACAGAAACAAGAAATACATAAGAACTCAAAAAATTCAACCAAAAACAACTAGAATAATTCAGAATGGAAATGAAACCAATGAAAACTCGAAAAGAAAAGTAAAGCAGATCCAAAACATTGACATTATCTTTGTTTGTAAGCTAACCAGTGTTATAGGCTGAGTTTCCTTATAAATCTAAGCTCTTTTTCATTTTATAGTGACATTCATAGACAAGGACAGGTTGTAATGGCTGCTGCTTCCTGCCTGTGACATTAGACCTGCTCTCTGTTCAGTTGTTGACAGGAAGCTTTGGATGAAGGACAGATAGCTGCTCAGGTGAAGCCCAAATAATTGTTATATTTCAACATATGAAGAAGGGGAGAAATCTATTCTGTACATTCTCTCTGGACAGTGTATTAATTAGGTTCACCATTGTTCCTTATTTAAGGGCAGAGGCTCTTTTTTCATCACTGTGCAAGCAAAATAAATTGTCGGGAGATTTGCGAATTCACAAATTCTGGAAATTTAAATTGAAGTAGATATATCAATGTTGTATTATATGAACTATTTTGACCCAAAGAAACTACATTTAGGGCCAAACCTATCACTGTCAAAAAGACTGACAGGGGGCACTTAAGTGTCCAAAGTATTAATGAATTTAGAACCTTTTTTTGATTGAAAAAAATGGCAAACAAAAAAAGACTAGTTCCTTTCATATCGTCATATTATTTAGGAAATTTGTTTTAAAAAGGTGAACTTTTGGTTAAAAAAAAAAATTCAAAATAATTTTTAGATATGTATGCACTTGGCTCTTAAAAATCAACACAACCAGGTTAAAACTCCTGGATATTTTAATGTAAACAATAAAACTGAAAACCTACATGTGGGACACTTAGGGAGAAACGTTCAGGTTTTGTAAGGTGCAACAAAAGCACATTTCACATTGTGTACATTTGGTAATGACTTTCTTTTCTGTACTCTCTATTGAGGATTTAACTGATAAAACTAAATGATTTTAAACCTTTCCACAAATGATGGCCTTATATAAGACCAACTTTACTTTAGTTTCTATGTTTTGTGATTTACTACAACCGTATAAATTGTGATTAACTTACGGTTTAAAAGTGTTTTTTTTTCTTACATTTTAACAGAGCTATTTTCACTTTTAAAACCTTCATTTTTTCAGTGGGAAGCGGTCTCTTGTGAAGTCAAAGAAGTCTCCAGTGGGGAACTGGCTGTCCTTTTTCCACCTTGGCAAGTCCCATTCAGTGTCCAAGCGTAAACTGAAGCGACACCCCAGTGAACCTAATGAGATAAAAAGCATAGCACTGCCAGGTCAGTTTCCTGTGGAGCTTATTTTCCTTTTTGAATGTGTCATGGACATTGTGAAATTCATTTTGAACAATTTCTGCTTAAACGATTGTAGGAGGACGAGGTGATAGTGGCACAATGCGCTCGACTAAGAGTGAAGAATCACTTACTTCTTTACAAAATTTAGGTGATCTTTCTTTAAAACTAATAAAGCTTTTGCAAAATTCTTATTGGTTTACATATATATATACATATATTTTTTTCTAGACCTAATGACATTTATATTTTTCATTTTCCAACCCAGAGCCTCCAAGTTACCGCCCCCTCAGACCTCGTTCAACCAGTGAGGCTATTTCTGCCACCAGCAGGGATGACCTGCACAACTCAAGAGGAAAAGAGGACCGCCAAGCTCACCAGCCAAACGAGAGCAAACGCGGTTCTGACAGAAGCCGCAGAGCTGTTACCCCTAACCACTCCGAGGACGATCTTGACCTCTCCCCACCGGCTGCAGGCATCTCATCCCTGGACTTCGACCCCATGTCTTTTCAGTGCAGCCAGACTCCTGCAATGCAACACGGCAGAGATGGGAACAGGTGGAGGAAAGGTGTGGGGTGTTCCGGTGAATCGGAGCCTGCATCTTCTCAGAACAACTTTGGCTGCACGCATTCTCCAGATGTCAGCCCAGCATTGTGCAAAAGTGGGAAAAAAGTTAGCTTGAAGCATCTCTCCCCCAAAGTGAGGAAGAAATCATTAAAATTGTTGGCAGATGTTCAGACTCCCGTGCCATCTTCCTCTCCCAACGAGGGCAAGTGGGAGGCTGCAGTGGCAGATGGAAAGGAGCCAAGAGCCACGTTTCAGCACAGCAGCCCTATCAACACAGCAAGTCAGGCATCAGCTGCAACTGACCTCAGTCAGACTGCACAGAACCTCCCTGATCCAGGTCAGTTCCCTTTTAAACTTGAACTGTACTGTACCTTTCCATAGTACCTTTCACATTTTATACTGTTACAAGTACAAAAACCAGATTTAACATCTGAAACATTAGCTGATTTATCTGAAAAATGTGATGTGTATTTGTCTATAGCCCCTTGTCCCCCAATACTGCTAATAAAAAGCCATTAGTATCCTGCAAGTATAATTCCAGCTGTGCTGTTCAGGCCTTAGATATTAGAAAATATTAGGATGAGTTTTATAGAAGTTTAAAGCAGATCTAGGATTTAAGATATTTGAGGCTTTAAACATTTTAGCATACAGAGTACTCATCAATTATTCAAAACTGAAAAGAGTGAGGCACAAATGCCAGATCTGTTGAAGCTGTTAATGAATAACATTATTCAGGAAAACTGTCACACGGCTGGTCAAAAGTAACACTTACAAAGCTGCGAGTATCCACACAAAAAAGGGCTGGTTATACTCCAGCAGCGGTGTGTAGCAGAGAGCTTGTCGCAGGTATGACTCAGATATTTTTGATTTATACTCAATTTTGAAGCATGGTCTGCGCTTTGTTATTACACTCCACAACGCAAGAGGGATAATCACGAAGTAGCTGTGGGTCTAGATACGGCCGAGGCGGTGAGGAAGTGGAAAAACGCAAGGGGCAAGTTTGTGCGACAACGGAGGGACATGAGGGCAAAAAAGAGCGGGGATCAGGTGGAAAAAGGGTCCCAGGGTTCTCGCGCACCTCGCTCTTATAGCTGGTCCATCATCACAACTTATTTTCCACAATGGCGATCATACAAACAAAACAAGCCAATAAGGTACCAAACAGGAAATATGGATAGTGTAGAGCGGATGTTGAATTGACCAATCAGAGGCCTCATGTCTGTGGCACTGTCTGCGGTCATCTACAATTTTTGGGAGATGCACCACAGTGTCTGCGGAAGGTGGGGGGGCATATCTGCGTTAACTGCTAAACACACGCAGAAGACCTGGTTACTGAGCATAAACCAACCTTAAGGTGAGACTGCATGGTTGCAGCTGTTAACGTCTACTCCTCAGCTTCCCTAGCCTTGAGGAAGAGTTTTGTGAGTGAGGAAGAGGAAAAAGCAATTGTTGAACCAAAAAAAGTCCATATAAGTGTGTCAGAAACCTTGTAGTTAACTTTAAACTTGTCTCTTGGTTTCAAATGACTGACAGAAGTTCATCTTTCAGCAAGACAACAACTCTAAATATAGTTCAACCATAGCTACAATAAAATAGTAGATTTAGATTAAAGTATATTAATGATTTAGAATGGCCCATCCAAAATGCATACTTAATTTCAACCGAGCATCTTAAATAAGTATTAAAATTGCTGTTCACAGATGCGTCCATTCAACTTGACTGAGTTTGAACTATTTTACAATCAGGAATGTTCCATGTTTTAACTTGGTAGAAACATATCCTAAAAGACTTGTAGGGGAATTGCAGTAAAAGTATTGACCATGGGGTTAGAAAACAAATACGCACCACACAGATTTTTACAGGTAAAATAATTAAAAATGTTTATTATTGTCATTCTGCACAATGTTTGCTGTTTAGGTAAGGGCAAAATGTGAAATGTTTTTAGTACTATCAATAATTATACAAGACACATTTTTATATATAAGTAAAAAAAAAATCTGTATATATATATAATCAGTAAGTATGTAACAATTAATGCCCTATGTAGTTTCTTATGAAAGCTTTTGTGTCTTGTCCCATCATGTGTTACCATAGCTTTGTTTGTCCTGTCATACTGTAGCGTTGTTTGTCTTATCCCTCCCCAGGAACAGATAGACTTATGAGTTCAGTCTCTGTTCTTCCTCCTCACCCCCCCTCGATGAGTGCTGCACGCAAGTTGGCCTTGGCCCTGGCTGAGTCTGCCCATCAGGCAAGCAACGCATCCCACAGAAGAAGTCATGCACATAACCACAGACTGCAGCGACCCTCTGTTCTCGACCTCAAAGCCCATCCTCAGGAGTACCGTGGCCCTCGTGGGAGCTCAGGGTCCCAGTGGCAAACAGCTGGGGAGACCCATCGCTCTCCTAATCCTGTCCAGTTCTGCTCTTCACACATTTGCTCAGAACAGTTTCAGGTAGGCGAAAGCCAGGAAAGTGTGTGCAATTTTACCCCTAATGTCAGCCCCCTCGGGTCAGGGAGCTTGGATGAAGGCAGCGCTGAGGGGAAGGAGCAAAGGGAGGAAAGAGAGACAGAGTTCAAACAAGAACAGCACACTTACCAGAGTGTTGGAGTTTCCACACCCTGTCAGCCTTTCTGCTCGGCAAGGAGCCCAACAGCCTCTCCTGTGTATGCCAACACCGACTCTGTGGATGCTTTTAATTTCAGATCTGTCCTGGCAGAGCCTTTGATGCCTGCATCTATCAAAGAGGTCTTTCCACGCCAATTGCAGACCTCTTCACCCCATCACTATAGCCCAGAGGAGGACAGTCCTCCCGGGTTTAGTGAGGATGCCTTTAGTAATCACCATCATCATCCACAGTACCATCACCGGCCATTGCATTTGGGTCAAACACCTGCACCACCCTATCCTCGACCCAGTGCTCTGCCACCTTACCTCTCTGGACATAAAGGCCTGTACAGGCAGTCATCTGATAGCCACTACAGCTCCTTAGGTCTGAGGCAACCTCTGTCACCCCAGTACAGGCGCTACCGGGGTGATTTGCGGAAGCAACATGGTCAATGGCAGAGCTCAGAGGACAGAGTGGCAAGAAACCCTGCCATCCGCAGGGCACACTCCTTCCATGCCCCACAGATAAGTCATTATGAGCTTGCTAACACAGAAATCCTGCCTGTTGATGCCATGTTTTACGTAGAGCAAAAGAGAAGCCCTGAGTTACCCTATCAAGGACTAATCCAGGCTGGCCTCAACCCTGTACGGACACAGTTTCAGAACCTACTGCCAGAACACCAATACCATGCCGGTTCAAACGCGGAAAATCCAAGATCTCATTACTTTGATCCCCGTCGGCAAAGTGGTATCCATCGTCAACAGACATTCAGTGTTCACTCCACAAGAGAAGGTGAGCCGTCAGAATACTACAACTACTCTCCTCGCCATATCCCCCCTGTTAATAGGGAGCTCTACATAAAAAGCAGAGACACTGTGGTTTATGAAGCTAGAGATGCAGAGGTTTTTGAAAGGGTAATATATCAACCAGTTCAACAGGAGACACATAAGGGGACGTACCACTCTGTGTCTCCCTGTGAGACTCCAGACTCACCAAGGGACATAATGCACACGAGGAGTAAGTCAGACCCTGGAAACGGCAACCTTCTCTCTGCCCACAACATGGAAGGTGAAAAGGCTGTAACTACATCCCCGACCTCACCCAGAATGAGTTCCCAGCAAGGATTCCCTGAGGTCTCCAGTCAACGTCGTAGCCACCGGTCTGGTGCCGAATTTGGCCCAGTGAGACGGATTCATATTAAAGAGGACTACTCGCAGCAACCACTTCTCCGAAAAGTCCCCTCCCTGCCTGACAGAGGCTGCCCTAACCTGAAAAACATTGAACTCACTCACAGGTGCCAAGCAAGAGGCTACGGACAGGATGAGTCATTGCTGGCTGGTGCTGAAAATCCCAGCATCCTGAGAAGACCGATACGCTCACAGAGCACCAGAGAACATCGTCACTACTATCATTACCAATCAAAATCTCCCCTGGATCCTGGACAGATGGAACCCTTCCCTGCCCAGTTCAACAGACGGACTCAGAGCACTAAAGTCAAGCCCACACAATATGACCACATGGAGGGGTATTACGCAGCACCAAGATCTAAATCCACAAGATCTGGAAAATCTGCCAGAGGATATTTACCTGGACAGAGCTGCATGTCTCCCCGAGGGCAGAGACTGCTGTCCAATGTTCTGGTTCATGAAGGTTTTTATCACCCTGCTCTAAGATCAGAGGGTGGGGGTTTATAAGTGATCTCAGTCCACTGCTTATTCATCTACTTCGTTGTTGGGTCCAAAGGACACCTGCACTTTATCCTCAGCCAGACCAACAGACCAAGTTTTGCTTTACTCTATGGAGCTGCTAAATATGAAATGAGGCTTATAGTATGGACTTTGCTGTTGGAAAACGTTTTAAGGGAATAAACCTTTTGTTTTAACACTGAAAATGTGGAAATAGGTGTAAGAAGCATGTATGAAAAAAAATACTTTTCTATGTTTCAATTGCATAACAAGGGATAACAAGGTAAATTTGTGTTTTAATATGATTTTTAAGTTTAGGAAAGTGTAGATAATAACTTATTTTAAAATGTATTATACTGACAGAAGGGGATATATTTACTGGCACCCATGATAAAGATGTGAAAAAAACTTCAATTGAATTCAGACTTTATTGCAGAAGCATAAATGAGTGACATCACAGCAAAAGAAGAGAAGAAGAAGAGAAGGACATCAAATAACGAAGCATGTGCCACCTGTGCATAGGATTGAATTTCTACAAAATTCCCTTAATTTACTAACATTTCGAAACACATATTTTTCAAAAAGCAGCATATCTGTTGGTTAGGAGACAGGGCAAGAGCAGCTTTAAAGAAAATCTTCACAGAGTGCTGCCTTAAAGGCACCATTTTTATGTTTTTTATAACATCCATTAGAAAGTATGAATTCTGGACTGTTTTTGAGAGGCACCCCAGGAAAAAATTTTTTTGTCATACTATCATAAATGCAGCCATGCGGAGATGTCCTAATTCTTTCATGACTATTACTGAAAATATATCCTTTGGTGAGGTGTGCCTCAGATCTGGCTTTAACATCAAACTGGCTAGGTGAGTCTGAAGTAAATAAAGCATGAACACATGAGAAAGAAAATAATCTTCCCTGATGACTAGGATAGAGGATCTGTGAGGCTGTAGTCCTGCTTCTGTTTTAATGGTCATGTGAACCTCAAAGTGTCGGCCTGCCTTCAAAATCTAGAGATGTACTATGACTCATTCCAGCTGTGATGCACAAAGCACACATTAATCTCCTTCCAGACTATTTAGAAGGTTTTAAATAAAAAAAAAGAGCCTTGAAATAAATGTGTGTCAAAAAAAAGGTGAAGCATCTTTACACATTTTATTGTAAAGCTTTTTAACCATACTTGTCAGGGATGCCAATAAATGTGGCCAGTACCGTATAGGAGTAACACACATATAATATGTGGCCAATGTACTGTATATTTTGTTTTCTATTCTACAGTCTGCTCAGACTTCAACAAGCACTTTTGAGGATAACTGTGGATGAAACACATTGTCTTAACATGGTGTAGATGGAGACATAAAGCTTATATTTTTTCTGTAAGAAGCAGCTTGCTCAGAATCATTGTTAAATAGCACTTTTCGGGGGGTAAAATCTAAAGATAACCTCATGCTTTCTAACTCTTCAGGGGTCGCTCACAAGCTCTTCTTGTTAAATGATATCCAAGCCGTGAGTGCTGTATGGTTTCTGTTAAAGTCGAAGCTACTGTGGCTAAATATGCTGGATTTAAGGCAAATCAACTCAAGCTCTTAGATAATAAAAAGTGTATTTTATATGGCATTGTGGTTTTGTCATAAAATAAAGAAATACTTCCTCTTTATAAACTTTTAACCATGTGGTGTTTTACACATTTTATCATAAACTTTGAACATTGGCTATTTCAACATTTAAATGAAGACATTCTGTTAGGACAAGTTACAAGTTATTTTAGTGACAAATAAGAAATATAAAGATACTGTATGTCGTCTGTTATAACAGTCCATTGAACTTGTTAAATGTGTGCTTAAGTTTGTTTGAAAAAATATCTGTAAGGTTGGACGATATGAGGAAAATGCTATATGATATCTTTGGGCTATATCACGATACACGATATATACAGTATAAAAGTATGATCAAATAACCTTGAAAACCAATTGTTTTTAGCCACATAGTGCCTATAGTTGCATTGGTATTTGTCAAATTAACATATTTGTTTCTTTGAAAAATTTATTGCAAATTAAACATTTATTTAAAATGTTTTATTTAAACGATTTTTAACAAATGTTTTTGACAGCCATCTTAGATTTTGTCTTAGTTTTTTAATTTTCAGGACAAAAACTACTATTATTAGTCTTAAACTCATTTTTGTCATTACGATAAGTGATAGCTTTAGTTGGTTTTAGTCAACCAAAACCTAAAAAGGTTTTAGTCACGTACCTTTTTTTTTTCCTTTAATGATAATCAAGTGCTCCAATAGTCAGAGGTGAAACAGGGGAGTGTTCAAAAGTTGAATGCAAGTACCGGTAGTAGAAGACTGGTCTCCAGGTTCACAATAACATCTATAAAGAGAGGCTTTATGAGTATAAATTAACTGTAACAACTGTAAGATAAATGCTCTTCTGTGAGATCACCAGCAAAAACATTATTTATATTTATCCCTTGTTTGCACTGGAAACCCTACTGTAACTGTAGCATCTGAACTTTACTCAGCCAGGGTCTGCAATGGATTTATTCACTTCTTCACTGAAAAAAAACACAAATATTTGAGGGGCAGGCTGTTTTTCTTATGAAGTCCAATACTAAAGATATCTCCAATGAGAATTGATTTTGATCATATCTTAAAATTTTACCAAATAAACTACAAAAACTTAGCAGAAATTTAATACCAACTAAATGCTTCTTCCTGCTGCCTTGATATTTTACTAACAGCTTTCTTTAAGAAAGCTCTGCCTTGTCATTATATTGGATATAACTCAAATAATAAATGCGTCCCTTTTGTCAGGTGTTTTCCCCCATGCATTAAAACCCGCAGTTATCAAACAGCTGTTGGAAAAAAAGAACTTAGACAAGCTGCTACTGCCAAATTGCAAACCCATCTAAAGCCTTCTGTCCATCTATAAGATTATTGAAAAAGCTGTGTCTACATGTCTTCCATTCTAGCTCACGTTCTAACCATAGTACAGAAGTGTTCTTGTCGAAGCGGTAAATGTATCAGACCATAATGTGGCATTCAGGCCTGCTGAACACTCCATAGTCAAAAGGAACTCTAATAAAAATGTATTTTATAACAGCACCTGGAAAACTAGGTTGGCCTTTCTGGTGCAGTACTCGATTGGCTTTACATCCTACTTAAAAGACAGAAAAGGTATTGCGTTATTCAGTAAGTTTATATCAGAGACCAGAAAGAAACATGTGACATTCAACAAGGGTCCATCATAAAGCACCTTCTATTCAATATCTACACTCTTCCCCTAAGTCGGTTTATAATAGACAACGTAATAAGTTACTATAACTATGAAGACCATGAATTAGGATGTCATCAGGTGACTAAGGATCCATTCAAGTGCTGGGTAAATGCATAAAAGGCATCAATGCATGGATATGCCAAAATCTTCTCCAGCTAAATCTAAACAAAACTTACGTAATAATATCTGGACCAAAAAAAGACTATTGAACATTTGCAGTGATAGACTCAGTGCTGAAAAAGCAGTGGTAAATAAATACAATAATGAGGTCGGCATTCTATGACCTAAAGAAAATCTTCAGAATTAAAGGACTAATCTTTATGTCAAGGCTCAGGACAGAGAACCTAGTATTCAAGGGAGACATAGATTTCCCAAAAGTGTTTATTTAAAAATGACGGATTGGCAGTGGGCAGCTAGGGCGTCTAAGACAGTAACCTTTGCAGGAGGGAAAAACAGGTTAGTGACCATGTTAATCTGGAGAAGGATGATTACGAATGTGTGAGTCACTAACCTGGTCTTTAAGTTCAGTCCGTCCCCAGAGAATGAGGTTGATTCCAGCCAGGCGGCTGCCAACAAGACGTACTGAATCCTGCCAAGAGTATTCTAGACTGAAGCCTTGAAGACTACAAAACTGGCAGGAGATCAGATCCAAGCAGACAAAGGAAGGCAGGGCAATCCAGAGGAAGAAGCCAAAACTGCTGTGAAAGAGGTCCACAGGAGTCCAAGCCAGAAGATCAGAGATCCAAAGAGGTACTGAAGGGAAATCCAGGTCAGTGTCAGGAAGCAGATCCAGGTTCGGTCAACAGGCAGTATCCAGCAGGAGTCCTAAGGCAGGTCAAGCCAACACAGCAGAACAGGCAGGCTCAGAAGTCCAAATGCAGAATGGGTCAGGATCATGCAATCAGAACACAATCATGTATGCTAGAGAACTCTCACCAAAGTCTTGAATAATCTGGCACCGATGACTGGAAGCAGGCAGGTAAAATAGACTAGAGAAGGTGGAATAGATGAACAGTGATGAGAAGCTGGGCAAAGCTAGGCAGGTGAATGGAATGAACAATCGAGCCAGTCCCCAGCGCAAAAATCATGACACTCTCACCAGAATCTCGAAACAGTTATTAATGTTTTTATCTTTAGTTGAAGTGATTACTGTGATGGTGAATTCACTGGTCTGCAAAAAAAGTTTATTAGAAAGCTGCAATTGATCCAGAAGGCTGCTGCCTTTGTCCTCACTAAAACTAAAAAAGGGGAGCACAGCACCACAGATCTATAAGTCCTTATGCTGGCTCCCCGTATCTCAGATAACAGACTTCAAAATACTTCTGTTAGTATATAAATAACGGCTGAGCACCAAATACATTACATTGTAAGTGTTTCAACCATCCAGACCTCTGAGGTCTTCGGGCCCAAACCTAATCTGCTTACCTAGAACCAGAACTTGAAGAAGAACATTGCTAACTATCTTTAAGTTCTTAAACTCCACTGGTCCAGAATAAAATGTGAAAACTGGACAATTGCTGAATATCCAGGATTTTAAATCGAGATAAAAAATTAGTTTAGTGTCTTTTGAATGGGCTTTTTAACAATTTAAATTTGTAGTCAAACTTTCTTTCATTTAATAATAATCATTTCATTTTTCAAAAGCAAATTATTACTTTAATGATCAGTTCTAATTCACTTCAATCATTCCTATTTTATTACATAATTACCTTTATGCCACTGCAATCTTACTGAAATCTGCTATAAAAATAAAGTAGAGAAATGTACAACATTTGATGGAGAAATGTTGCAGTAAAAACAAAACGCCTTAGCACACTCCTCCATGTATTAAAAGTTTATGAAATAAGAGTTAGTGTTATCAAACATCTGACATTTTTTTATTGTTTTACTTTTCTTTAGTGTTCTACAGTAGACTTCTTGTGTGATTCTTAGGATTGACTTAGGTGTTGTCAGCGCATGACTTAAATAGTTCAATTCCTTGTTTAAAGTATTATTTACCTGCTTGTATAAATGTGACCCATGCACCAAGTATTTTAACTTTATTTGTCCAATTTTTAAAATCATACAAAAAAACAGCCTTATGTAACACATTAAAATTATATGCTATACAGTAGTGGTAGTACAAAGCTTATTCAACTGTTTGCTGATTTATATTCTTTGATGATCTTAAACTCACAAAAAGCTACAAAATGTCAAAAATAACAGAGCAGTAAACATTTTATTTTTAAAATAGCCTAAAAATGTAGAAATGTTAATTAGTCAAATGTTTGGCTTAGATTCAATTGCTAACCCTTAAACATGCATGCTGATATCTTTACATTTTCATTTCAGCAATTGACACCATGGAGCATGTGTAGACTTACTTTTCAGAAAACATTTTGACCTGTCAGACGCAGAAAAACCCAAAAGCAACAAGGTACAGTAAGTGCCTTTTAGTGCTCTGTTGGCGAAGCAGAGCTACATCTGGAGAAGAGTGATGAAAACAAGGCTGGAGAAGACTTGTCGATTTGGTGTTTATCAACAAAAAAACAAAACAACAGCTCATATTTTAACGTATCAGAACCAATATTTTACCCTTAAGTATCAAAAATTAAAACACAGGGAAAGAATTGATAAAAGGTTTATTTAATGTAACAAGACCCTCAGCTGGAAGGGGGTCTGAATGCTGGATTTGTGGGATTTCATAGAAAGAGAAGTCAATGAGTTATGGAAACAATGATATGATGGGTTTTAAATGATTGAAAGTCAGGTTTGAGCTGCTTAATCAGATTATGGCAAAAGGACACTGAGTTGGAGGATCAGTGAGGCTGGATGGGGTGGTTTGGGCCTCTGGAGTTATTGAGCCACAGAGGAGAAATGGGGAGGTTTTTTCTTTTAAGAGGCAGCTGGGAGATGATGAGCGTAGGTGGACCTGGGACACCAGGTAAAGAGATTTGATCCGGAAGGAGAGACAAGGCAGGTAATCCTGGAACACAAGATAAGGCCTAGTTACCACACAATAAGTGAGAGTATTGTCTGAGGAAATCGTCTTCTTAAATACTCCTACTTGAGCGAGGAGCTCTGATTAGGTTCATCTGTGCTGCTCCACCTGCCTGGGTTCACCCAGGATGAGGAGAAGAGGTGAGAGACAACACAGACAGGCACATGCATACAGCCTCACAGTTGTACGTTTTATTACATTGAAAATAACTGTAACTGTAGAAGCATTGGTTAAAGGCAGTAAGAATTAATTTAAAACTATATTTATGCAGGATTTGGATGTCTCTTTAATATGTAAGCAGATCAACCATAATAAAATTATTTGCCTCAGATACAAATTGTTTATATGCAACTGGAAAAAAATAATGACAGTAAGCTTTTGCTTGGCCTGTCATTA